ACAATATAGAACTTATCTACAAATCTCCATTTATAAACACATTCTTTAAAATGATCTATTAGTTTGGTAACTTATTGTCTACCAGTCTGGTGTATAACGGTGTGCTAACCAAGCCTCTTAGTGCGGCAATTATGTCTTCATTGCCCATGCTACCTTCATTATTGCATCCGATCCCAAAAAATTCCGTCTATTAGCGAAATTGCTCAATTTCGCCAGCCTAACAAGTTTTCAATGATAATGGCATAGTAAACCGCAAGAAAGGAAATGGCATTACAAACGCATTGAAACCATTATCATTGTTGATTGTGTGTCGCAAGATTTTTATGTGTTATTTTATATAATCTTTTAGGAAATTGCGTTTAGGCAAACCGACCTAGAAACACTGTGTAAAACTTGCCGGTGTTTGGATTACAATAATTGTCCCATTGTTGCCAAAAAACGACAGAAGCAAACTAAATCATCCAATAAATCTGATTAAAATTTGCGTGTAAAACAATTAGACTATTACTGCTCTTAAACAAATATAACAAATCTTCGTTTATGTAACTGAATTCAAATATCCAAAAAAAACGTCGTCCAATCGCAACAGTCAGAAAAAATCGTTAGATAATAAGCGATGCAATTAAATGGGCGCCAACAGACAATGAAACGAAATTTGCGCACATTAATTTTACTTCTGGGTTTTGAAATATTGCTAATTTAAAACCGCTTTTGTGCGAGCTGCTTTAACACTCCTTGATACAGCTTTCTACCACTGAGAATAGCAATTGTCGGTGTCCGATATGTGCTGTATGAACAAAGACCGTATTTTTTGACTAAACCCACGCAAAATTGGGTTATTCATGTGGTCACACTATTTTGCAACTGCTCAATTGCAGAATAAATACATTTTTTTATCGAAGGACAACCACTGACTGAGTGTCCAAGAGAAACTAGCTCGAATGCTTTGAACGAGCAGGAAATTGCATTATATTTGACTTGACTGAAATCAATTATCCAAAATGGAACTAATACCATCAGCAGAATGGATCAAAACTGAAAAATCAACAGTGATATTTGCTCTTTGAGGTTTTTCAACAATAAAATTATCAAGGAATAATTGTCGCATATCGGACTTAGTGTGAGAAAACCGTGAATCGGGTATTTAATGCAATTCAAAATTAATTCCTGGGTTTCAGTCATTTATTGTCTCTATTTATCAATTAAAATACGTTTCGGTGTATTTTTCCACCATCATCAGTTTTGATGT